TGGAAAGTCTTTAATGTATCGAGTAAGAAGGCATTGAATTATCGAGTAAGACAACACATTCGTTAGTGTGCATCACTGTTTCATGGCATTTGATATCCTTTCAAAAGCAAGTTTCACGTCCTAATGTAACAGTGAGGTATCTCTGTGAGATTCAAGCCGAATGAAAGTCATTTTTCGCCAAGAGGAACAAACACAATGAAAAGAGCGCTCTGATCAATCACGGTCCACGACTGTCTGGACGAATTCTACTTGGGACATCCTTCAATCAATTGCTTTGATTCAGATCGAATATTGAACATTATTTAGAATCAAACGAGACTGCAGAAAACTGTATGTTTGGCCATGATGCTTGTGCTTCATGATGAGGAAGAGCTATTGTGACTAGCATATTGAATCGTTTAATCTTTTTGCCAACAATCTGTGCAGTTCTGATTTTTCTGCATAATTTCACCACTAAAGGAACACAAAATGTGAGAAGGTTTCGGAGTTCGGAGTTATATCTGAAGATTAGTATAGCCCAAGCAAGCGATACGGCACTGCCTGAATATGATTATGTCCTCAATTGGTCACATATTCAGAGATGAAGGAATATTATAAGAATCCCTTTTCAGTAGTTGCAAATCATCAAAAACTTCTGTGATGGTGTCCGGTTCTTCGGAAGTTGTTCAACTGAACGTTGTTAATGATAGACATTCGAAGCGTATATGAATTCGATGAATACCAAATTAAGTAAAGTGCTGCAGTTAGGAAATGAAATTCGTTCAACAGTTCCATGTGTAAGGGGTATTCAGTTATGATATGGTCGAATTTTCCTGGATAGCTTCAAAACTTAATGAACAATTATAAATATGTATATGACCAAGAATGCAATGTCTCTGAATGCCTTTTGATCAAAGAACAAACATTGTTACAGAATGAGTTAGCTCGTAAATCTCTCAAAAGGTATTCATTCAAGCAACAATACAACTCGTAAGACGATCATCGATAAATTTATTGTTTCGCTTAAGAGATCTCACAATGTTCATGAATATTTCAAGTGTTCACAGACGGATCATTGTTCTCAGCAATTCATTTCCCGACATCATGCCGTACTAATTTTGAAAGCCTTCACAGAAGCGTGAATTCGCCACTCTTTTTCAATGCAGGCAGATGCAATCTACATTGCAGTGTTATGATCAACTAGGAAACTATTTCAGTGAATTCGAGCAGCTAGGTCGTCTCAGATTCTTTGATTCATTTCAGATTCCTCCAGTTGCAAACCTTTCATAATCTACCATAAAAGACATTGATCAGCACTTCCAATTTGGTGAACTCCATCGCTCTTGAGTCATAAAGTCAGGTGCAGAAGTACATGCAGAAAATCTGGTGCGGAAAAGACATCTTCATAATCCGCAAAATAGAAATAACACCATCAACGCTTCACTTTCACATCTGATCGGATGCGGTGATATCTTAGAATCAGTTGTGCATAGTAGCATTGTTTATAAATCTACTACGCACACTTTCCGACAATTCCATTGAGCATGGAATCTCAATTTTGTGGAGTTCACTGATAAATGTATCTCGCAATCGCTCTTTGATTTAAAATCATCGATTCTATCCAAATTTGACATTCTAATTTACGATTTTGTGATCAAAAAGTAGAAATCTTATTCACACGTAAAAAAATGGCGACGACCAATGAGTCAGAAGTACTTTGATGTCTACTGATATTAAACAGCACACAGTTGCGTTGTGCAATTGATTTTACGCACTGCCACTACGGTTATAAGGATTGTCTGACAGAATTGTGAATCATCTTCATTTCATCACTCAATCACTTCCACTTGCGTAATATCCGGATTTGTATGGAACGTTTGACATGCTGACAAAGAAATCAAGCATATACTCTGTATTACGGTCACTCACTGAAAAGCCCGCATCTATCCTGATATTTCCAGGAATGATTTGTGAGAATAAATGAAATACGTCCTCCTGCTGAACGGAAATGTTGCTCCTAAGTTGAATCATATTCAACATTGTTGAAAAGCAAAGAATTACCTGGCAGTTCAACTTCGGCGTAAACTGAGATACAAATGAAGGCTAATAGATGAACAGAGGAGATGGATGTCCAATCGACCATGTTTCAGAGGCGTTAACACCCTGAACAAATGAATAAGAACTCTTGCGGTTCTAAATAAATGACGATTTGGTTGGTGTGTAACGCCTTGCCTAAGTCTGTCTTACCACAACGACCCGCCCATTGATTCTCATCAAATATGACAGATGGATAAGATATCCGCGGTTGATTATATTTGCAGACATATTTACATTTTATTGGACATCTTGAATCTAATTAAAGCCATCAACCATCAACTCCATTTCATGTTGATTACTTTTTCGTCACTGAATGTTCACTCGTTACTGACGTATTTGAAAGGTAGCAACGTTGGGTTGAAACGGTTCTGTTACTCGGCACTTAACAGCGCTCAAAATCCTTTTCACCAACATAGCCAATGAATTTCATCTGCCGAAAAAGGCTAATAGATCCAGTCAAACCAATGACAAATCTTGTGAGAAATTATTGAAATCTGCTTGCTGAAACCTTTACTGAATGCATGCATACGGTTTACGTAACTAGCATGAGGAATACGTTTCGTAAATGGTAATTTTCAGCACTTAAAATGTTTGGAGTTGAGCGATGCAAAGGAACGTTCTCATGATGATGGAGCTGGTATCAAGGTAAAAGCGTCTATAAGAACTCACAGTCTCATAGGTTCATCAGAATAACGCAGTTGATATCAGTCGAAGCATGAGCAATATGAGCTGTATGAACTATTCAATAGCAATCCATGTTGATACTGTTTACGTGTCAGAAAATCAGGTGTCGAACATGTTGAGATAACGAACTAATTTCTACTTTTGGATGCGAGATTCTCTGGGTAGAGACGTCTCTCATTCACATTCTGCATTCATTCCTCCTACGTTGAGCTGATTTACTTACGAATGTGATACTTTTACGAGCTGCAATCCTTCTCAGCTTGACTGGCTATAAACAAGTTGTTTCTGATTTCTAACAGAGAACTGTCGGACAAATATTCCCAGTGCAAAGTTATTGTGTTGAATCAGTTGAGATAGATGGCATTTTTTCGACAGGTACTCATTTGCGAGGGTTCGCGAAGAATGTCCAAACAAATTTCGCCGTTGAACCAATATTGCCGTTGACAATCACCTGCTATGTACTTACGTGTGAAATGGTCATCATCCAGCAGGAATATTAAAATCCCTCATCTGGTTGCATCGTTCCCCACATAGAACTGCATTTATATCCACTCGATAGAAACGTTTTGGGAAACACTCTTCATTTCAAAAGCAGGATCTACCTATGTTCAGCTGATTTGTTTTGTTTCAAAATTCAAGATTTCAGCTGACTTTCAGTGAAATTATTTTATTTCTGTAATATCAGGAGATGTTGCAGCAACGATGGCGGAAATCATTGAAAAAAATGTGGGATAAGGCATACTTTCTCTTGGGTTATGAAATCAGTTTACATGAGTCTCTTTATATCGAAAACAATTTATTTTCCGAATCACCTGTCATATAACAGCTGACGAATAAGCTTACCACAAATGGATCATTGTCACAAAAAATTGCTGTGAACAACGCCTTCGAAATCCACTGAGAATGAATGATTAGAAGTGGGATGCTTCTAATTAGATTGGTTCGGTTCTATAATTAATCGTGATTAGTAATCGGAGACTCATTTGATGTGTTGACAACATTTATTTGGTATGAAAGGCACGTATAAGCTTATGAATAGGCAAATGTTTGGTAACTCTACATAGAGAACACTGCTTTTCAGCTGCTCATTTCAGTTTTTCGATTGTTTTCACGATTCTGATTTCGTGCTAAACTCACTACACACTTTATCCGTCTGCACTAAGGTGGACCATTCAGCCTTTTTATAAGCCCTTAGTACAGCTTATTGTTTGGTATCAATCCCATCTCTTATGATTACATGAATGCAACGGCCTTCTGTTGCGCAAATATCCAGATTGTAACCTTCAGTTTCACGTTCACATGGAATAGCCAAAATCTGGCTGCAGTGGGTTGAAATTATTACGATTAAGAAATACAGTTGCTCACAGTTCGGTGTATACAACCGAATGTCACTGAGTCAAGTCAAGAACCACTGACAAATCAGAAATATTTTAGGACTCGAGTGATCGTGGAATTTCCGCTCTGAGTGTTCAGAACTATTCGATTAAAACAGTGAGGTAGAATAATTGTTTTTTTTNTTTTTTTTGCGATTACTTTAATGTTTAAGATTCGGTGCTTCTCCTTCATGTGAGCCATCAGGAGTTCATTCACTTACTGAATACTCTTGAGTGAGTGACTTCAGTTTCAATTATACAAGAGCAGCGAAATTTAGAGCCGTCTTTTGGTCCCATCTCAATTAAACAGATTGCAAGCTGTACGACATTCATTCAGTTATGACGACATTGGATTAGTTTCGTGGATGAGTCAGTCATAAAAATTGATGAGCACTGTCCGAAATCACACGTAATGCCAAAAAAAAATATTGAGATTTTTTTCCTAAACGAATTTTCCCTAAAAAACCTTCGATTTTTCAGAGAGTATAGCAATCAAATGGCTCCACTCAGTGAAGCTCCGACACGGCAAATAAACAAAGAATTTGGGTTTACATGATGCACTATGTTCGCAACGATGTGCTAGGCTGCATTTCTTTTAGCCCGCTAAAGCTATGCTGATTTTAGAAATTCTCGTGAACAATGTATCGAAAGAAATGAGGAATAGGCATGGAATATCAATTGCTTGCATACTCTCAACGGAAAGACGACTCTGCATTCAACATTCATTCGATGCATTTTTTTCCGTTCCAGTGTATTTTCATATCTTTTCTTCATATCATTTTTATCATCAATTGCTATCTTTAATAAAATCAAGAGGTAATCTTCATCGATGTACTCAGACTTTCCAGAACAATGCATCCGAATAGCATATCTCGTGTAATGCAATGTCTTTGAAGCATATGCGCTGCAGTTGTCGACTCTGCAGAAGAAAACTGTTAACAAAGACTATACGACTTCATTTATTGCACATCGCCAAAGAGACCTGAACAATATGAGTGATTTAAAAGAAATGCGTTGATAAACTGCACAATATGATTTCAATTCTGTTTTCTTGTTACCACTGATGATAGTGCGACGAGGATTACTGAATTAACAATAAGTTTGGACAAGATACGATAAGATGTGAGTGGAGTGATAGACAGCTTCGTGCAATTAAACACATATCAAACTCAACCCTTTTAAATTTGACTGACATTGATGGCACGTAGAGCCGAAAATGAAGATAAACATGTTGAGGTCAGTTAGCATCTAGCATTGAAAAGAACTTCAGTTACGAGCAAATTAAAATACGTCCTGACGGTGAATGTCGCTTTAATGGAATTAAACTTCACTGTCTGTCAAACAGTGAATGTCAAATAATGAAAATTACGGAAAGTTGATCATGTGTCACCCACCGTATTTGCACTTCAATTTCTGCACCAAATATAAATCGCAATTCAACTGTTTTTGCAATTCATTTACCAAATATGCTCCAATATTGTCGCATATGATCTCGAATGCCTATTGAGTTATGAAACAATTGATCAACTATCCATCCTTGGGAGAAATAAATCAAAGTGCAGACATGAATTCATTACAACTGTGATCAATCAACTTCAGCATACTTGCCATTGATACAAGGACGGAATGAATTTTAGTTGATTGGCCTGTACATCCATGTTACGTTAATTTATCGGCAACGGTTCGAGAAAATTCAATGAATTCTTGATGATATTTTCAAATATTCATCATGATGAATACTTCTGCACTTGAATTATTGACGTGATTCGAAATGCTCCAACCACTGCTTAAATATTCGATGCATTTGAACGTTCGAAAGCAATTCGAATGCTCGTTTCGTGACAAATATCCCAAATGAAAAGTCAATCCTTCATGGCAACGCACTACTTGATGACGAGGTCAGAAATGCAAACAGCACGGCAACTGAACACGTATTTTTCGACCCTTATCAATTCTCCTTCACCTCAGTGGGATGTTCTTTGGAACTTCCAGCATCTAAAAGCGTAAAACAAACGGTAGGCTCATTCGTACTCATTGGTAAGAGTGCAATTCCATCTTTTGTTCCACTTCAGATACCATGCAATCAAATGGGTTACTCAAAGTGTTTCTCGTCGTATCATCACTTTCATTTCGTGAAAAGAACTCATTTGAAACGATAACGACCCTCCTCATAAACCTTTCAATAAATCACAATTTGACTCGAGATATAACATTGAAACGCTTGAATTGCCCAAAATAGGTGACAATCAACCAGTAATGACGACCGAACAACCATAATTCACATTAATCTAAACAATTTCGCACATTCTCCTCAAAGTAAAATGGTTTCCTTTTGCAACGTCATTAACGCTATGGTATTTTGAAGGTGCTACAAACAAACCAAATGTGCTGGATCGCTGTCAGTCGCTGAGAAATGGGCAGTATGCGCATTATTCGGTAATCGTTCGTATCCAATCAGACTAAATAGTATATTAAATCTGCGAGTAAATCTGACGTCGCAGTTTATCTGTGTTGAGAGTAATTGAAGCAAACAGAAGGAAACTAGAATGACATCATATATGACAATCAAATTGCGAAATTCTGATGGAAAAAAACGCTCTTATTTGGAATTCGACTGGTGGATTCTTATTGAGCAAATTATCCATATCAACAAAATACGTGTAGATTTTGAAAGTGATCTGGTATGAAAATCACTTTCAAATGCGATTGCTACTTGCATAACTGACACAAACAACTCTCCGAACCCTAGCCTAAACCGTGAAATTGATACACTTTCGAGAGAACTTCAATGAAATCTGTACTTGGCAGGGAAAATTAAGCTACTTCAAAAAGAGTGTAATGAAACCATACCGAGTGCTCGGTATGAACCATTAACGTGTTCTATTTATCTTTTTAATTGCCTTCTCACTCCGTCATTAGGCATGATGTTTGCATGCAATTACGTACCTTTATATGTTTTCAGGTAATATTTCTTTTGATCAGGAATATTCGACGAGATGTGGTGATATGTAGTGATTATGGCGACGAGATTTTACGATGGGTGTAGAGGACAATGAATGAGAGCAGAGCAAAACACAAACCCATTTAACTGCTCTTTGATAAGCTGATAACAGAATGAAGTAAGGAAACAAAATTCATCGCTCTCGCTGATAATTCCACTTGCATTCGTTTCCTTTTGCATTTATTTATTTTTCAGTTCCTGAGTGATGTTATCACTCACATCATTTCGTGTTATAATTCAAATGATATAAATTATTCAGTGCCTTGAATTCTTGAAAGGGTTATTGCTTTACGAAATTTCATATCTCATTTTCAAAGCGCATTAATATACGTTGCATTTTTCTGAAGGATTATTATGATTGTGATTGTCGTTATGCACTGTAATGAAAAACGAATAATGATTGAAATCAAATTTCATTTTGATTATCTTTATCGGTGAAAAAGCAGTATTACACTCATCAAGAGCATGCATCAATAGTTTTAATGTTTCAAATTATGAAGTTTTACGACAAAATTCCAAATGATTCTTCCAAAACAATATGCTCTGGCCAAGAAAGGCAGTGCTTTAAACAATTTTTCTATCGATTGAAAAACATAGTAACAATGATGAGGCTGGATTACATAGAATTTCATAATCAGATTCATTTCGAAAATGGTTTGTTTGTAACCGTTTTTTTAGTTTATGGTAGGGCAAAGTTAATTTCATTTATAGTGAACAATCTTGTTTTCTTGCTTGTAGCGTTTCAAGACCGCAATGCGACGAATTTCACATGGTCTTTCATTCGTATGTAATTGATACTTTTGAACGTTCATGTTCGGAACACATATATTTGATTGTCTGAAATATCAATCGTTCAAAAGTTCCATGGAAACAATGTCCCTATGGAGTCGCAAAGAAAAGAGGATGGTTGTGAGAAATGATTGTTGATGGATGAGTGGGAGGGTAAGGATAACCGAAAATGATTGCCGACACATCTTTTATTGCTCTTCTAGAGCTGTTTGACGTCAATACTCAATCGGTGTTTGAAATGAGAAAGAAAAAACGATGATGGAATGATTCTGTCGAAATTTGGCTATGACACTGCATCTTACAACATCTGAAAGATTCTAATGTGCAACGAAATCCCCATGGCATATGTTCGCTATGCACAAGCACTCCTTCTGGAACGTTAACACACTTCAAATGACGACACTTGTGCGCGTGCTTGACCTATGGCTCTAATCGAAACATACTGACTCAGTATATTGGCCACTTCAGGATTGAAAACCTAATTAATGACTACAGCTGAATAATATCAAGGTCACGTGAAGAGATATCAGTTCTGTTCGCCGTTCCGTTGTCGTTCCAGCGAGCAATCATGCATTTTAGATTTTGTTTGGACAGAACTCCACTTCAGAACAGTTTTGAATCTGAATGCTCCCATTTGCTCAAACAGTATCATAGCAGGCGAAATATATTGCTCATCTCAAATGTACTCTACCAAATGTTTCATTATCTAAACTATTTTGATGAGACATAACAAGCGAAATAGCAAGTATGTGGTGTCGTTTTTTAAATCGAATGGTTGCCTGGATAAACAAACAAAAATGGAAATGCCCAACTTTTTCATCATGTTGTATATCAGATGCTCGCAGTGTTCGTAAATAAATCATGTGAAGAATAAGTTAGGGAAGGAATATTCTAAGGGCAAATCAATCAAACAAATAGAGCTGATCACACTTTTTCGGACTTCATTTTGAGAATCGAAACGAGGAACGAACTATTATTAGAAATCCATTTATGAAATTGTTTCGTTTTTTTTTACCATTCCTGGCATTTGCGATGATTTTTATGATTGCTTACAGTAACAACCGAAAAATTACACCATAATTGTTGGAATTATCAGAGCCAGTAGACCAACAAAGTATAGCATAAATAAGTGTTAATAAAACGTTTTATCTAACGATAAGTAATGATGAAGAGTTTTCGTTGAGAAATTCCATGCTATTTACAACTATTCACAGCTGATTGAGAGTTCCGTCTGAAAAAAAAAAACTGAGATTAAAATCCTGTGTGATATATCCTAAAATGGTACCATAAACTCATTGCCGAAATTATATAATGCAATGTACTTTGTGCCTTGATAGCATTTACTATGTATTCATTTCTTTGGGTGCTGTAACCACTATCGGCCACAAAAGAAACTGTTCTTATCAGAAAGTGGTTATCATCGCACAATCACTGTTTCGATGAACATTCTGCTTATAGTTCGATAAGCACTGAAGAGTGCGATTCGCCTATTTCCAATATTCTTTCAGTGATGTTTAACTAAGAATCGCTCTATCAGATTGTGGTCATGAGAACGAACGCCTTTCATTCAGAAACAGATCACTGTCAACGCAACAGCGATGTTTTCGAAATTCTCTCATCAACATTCCTATCTGTGCAAATAATTTTCGAAGTATAGCTGCTCAAAAACATTACAATTCGTATGGATGATAATATCGCTCTCAAAACCACTCTTGTGCGGTTGAAACGTTTACCACCTGTATGCATTTTATTCCTCTCCCATTCGTTGTTAGGGTTTGCGTCTCGAAGTCACTTCGAAACGAGACGAGACGAGATGGAATGGCCAACCCTCGTCTTGAACTGTTGAATTGAATGAGATGAGAGCCTCAAGCATCAATGCGAGGGCTAGAGTTCCGAGAATAACCAATGTATTACTCGAACCGGTTCAGTTTTTTGGAAGTCACTGAATCCTCAAACTATCTCGAGTATTCCAGAAGTTCCTCGAACTGCAGTGCTTCGGAGAAAAACACTGTTATTTCTCGGAATAACCGAGATGATAGTGGAGGTCTGTCTCAGCTGGACGAATCAATATGAAAAATTTTTGGGGCCACTTTTATCTCGTTTCGAGATTTTTCGTCGAAATACGAAATTCTCTTCGCGACGCAAATCCTATCTTGACCGCATAACGTCTAAAACTATGCACGTTGTTTATTGTTTCATTCATTCATATGAATCTTAAAAGGCTGTTCAATTTGTGGCTCTGATGGCAATCGATTTGTTTGAGGGTAACATCACGTGGAACAGCTGGAATGGTGGCGTTGAACGTTTGTCGAGGCATACGGGAGTGGAGACGCAAGAATGACGTTCAGGCATTTTATCGATGTCAGCAAACACTGATTGATTTGCAAAAAGAAGACGAATTGACACTTAATCAAAAGCAAGATGATCAACTGCAGAATGAAGCACATCAAGAACGACGCAAATTGGTCTCTCGGCATTTCACTTTCGTTTCGAGTAAACTTTTGACTGCCACTGAGATAACGTCTATTGCTATGAATCAAATTTAGAACAGTTTTGCCTTGTCAATTGCTACAAGAGCAGACTCGCAAAAACAAACAACTCCCTCAAGCGAACCTTCATCTCTTTATCGGTTAATCCTGTGCCATGAATGATTTTATGAACTCTTACCAAATGTTCAGAAATGGGATACGTGGCTAGCTCGTATCACACTGCTGCTCAATATAATAATGATTGTTGCAAAAACGGTTGCTGCATACCTGTCGAACTCACTTTCAATCATCAGTTCAGTGGTAGATAGCGTTATGGATATTACAAGTGGGACAGTAATTTGGGTGTGTCTCCGATCGATCAGAAAAACAAATCGATATGAGTATCCAATTGGGCGAAATCGGTAAGACCATCGTTTTATTCGCTACGTAATAATAACTGAAATATGGACAAATTATAATTCGTCATAAACAATTGTGTGAAGTGGCACAAAATTATACCTTTTGAATCTAAGCATCATTCGTTAAATTCTGGGAATGCTTAGCGTTTAACTGTCATGGAATCTAAACTGCTTCTACTGAAACTGTGATTCTGATGTGGTTTTTTAAACCTCAAATAGCTCTGATCAACTCGAGAATTCTCTCAACGCCGTCAAACATCGAATGAAAGTGGTTGTGGTGAAAAAGCGGAGGAAAAAACAGTGTTTATGCATACATGTTGCCATTTCCATTCGGATTAATCAATCACTCAGCCAGAACTCTAAGACATAGGAGAGGGACTGCAACACTGCGAATGACTGAGGTTTCGAAGAAGTTTAAGCTGATTTTTTAAGCTGATTTTAAGGTTAGAACCGATTGCTGTAATGTTCGTCGCTATTGTGATGATTATAGCGAATGTGATCGTTATCGGCGACGCACTTTTATCGACGATAAAACAAGACGTTAGATTTTGATTGGCAATGCTCCCTTTTCAGATCAGTTTCTACTGTTGAAAACAACCTTGATGCGCCATCAAATTTC